CAGCAGGAAGGAGCCTTCGCTGCATCTGTCCAGAGCTTTCCGAGCAGCTGGCTTGCCTGAGAACTCCACGATGCCTTTGCCTGAGGGCCTTCCTCGATCATCCACGATGACCACAGCCCTCTCCACCTGGCCGAATACAGAAAAGGCTTCCTCCAACAGTTCGTTGGACACATACTGAGGGAGGTTCCGGACCGTAAGGGACGCACTGTGGCAGGCGAAGCGCACGCGCAGCTGCTTCCCACGGAGGGGCATGTTGTCCAGCTCCACTTTGGCAATCTCCGCTAGGGTCCGCGTTTCCTGGGAAGTGGGGGGAAGTTAGAATTCTCTCGCTTTGGCACAGTGACTGCACCGCCATCGAGAGTCCAAGACAGCACAGCTCAACACAAAACGTCTCCAGGAAAAGAACCTGGGCAACAAGCACATGAAGAAACACGGACAGAACTGGAAGAGTGGACTCGTGTTCAGGTAACTCTTGGGTTAGCCTCACTGCTCTGACGGCCTTGCAATAAGCCGACTGGGAATCCTAGAAGTCTGTAACACTTACGCGGTCACCGGGACTCTGCTGGCTATTCTCCCAAGTGGCAGCAGATCATCTGGACAACGACAACCAGCCTAAAACCTACCCCTACGATACAGTAGGCAGAATATTTTCATTTCAGCTAGTTATCTAGAAGTTTAGCCAGAATCACTTACACCCTCCACCCCGGAGGTCCCCCAGAGAAAACGACTCGCCTGTATAGTCCTGAGTGAGTGCTAGATCTGGAAAGAAAACTAGTTCTGACCACATCACATTCCTCCTTTATGTAAACAGGTAATGCCTAGAATGGCCTCCCCACCACGTTTCCTAAATCGAATCAGGTTTTTACAAAACGTGCACTTAAAAACGGTTACATGATAAATGTTACGTCACGTGCATTTGAGCACAATTAAAAAGAAAAAAGACAGAAATAAAACTGTGCCGTCATGGCTTTAAACAGTCTGAAGTCAGACAGTACATAAGGCTCTGCAATGACATACGCCTTGACCACTACTAAAATAAAAACGTGTTTTCGTTCTCTTCTGGAAAAAAAAATCCAACATACTAAAATGTTTATGAAGTGACAATAGGGGAAGAGTACAGATAAAACAAGTCAACTATGAGCTGATAATCGCTGAAGCTGGGCAGCACATGCAGGTTCGTTGTATTATTCTGTCTACTTCTGTAGGTTTAAAATTTCCTAATTAAAGCAAAATTAAGTCCCAAAGGGCATACTTTGGCCTGAGTATCTTAGAAAAATAAATCTATAATGCCCTCGAAACAAAAACCTGGGAGGAAAGACATAATAAAGTCGGCATATTTTGTCCCGTTCCACCAACTACAAGCACAAGCTTTAAAGAAACAGACCGTCTGAGAAGTATTAGCTGCCTGATGTCCCATACCCATCGTTCCCCAGCTTCCCCGCCTTCGCTCTACGAACCTACAGTCGCTTACCAATCGGATAAAGCCAAAGCCCTTATCCTTATGAATGAAGACTTCGCCCGCCTTCCCGTATTTCTCGAATAGCTTCCGCATTTCCTCCTCAGTGATGTCAGGGGGAAGATTGCCCACAAAGAGCCGGCTACGCTGGGTGAAGGTCTTCTCTCCCGGCTTCCGAAAATTCTTCAGGTCAATAGTCAAGCCTTCATCTGAGAGAAAACACACCGTCACTCACAAGATCGGGGACAGAGATTTACGGTCATTCTCAAAGATCTACAACAGCTGCTAGATTAGGAAACTTAATTGCTGCAGAGAAGTCGAACGCCATGGCCCCCCGCACTCTATCCGCTACCCACCTATCGTCAATCTGCACCTCAGAAGGGGAAGGCAGGGCCAAGGATCTGGGGGGAGTTCTCAACAGCTCTACTGAGGGTCGGGAGCCGACCTGGACTGAGTCAGACACGGACAGACAAGACGGGAACTACTGGCCAAAGAGAAAATGAAGCAAGTCGAGGAACTCTACGTAAGGGATCCGCTTGTTATAAGACACGAGTGTGCCATTTTCCCACTCTCAAAGGCTTCCGTAAGGGAATGAAAAAAAAATGAGTTAGGAACGGGCAGTCTTTGTAGAAATCTCTGCAAATCAAGAGGGCTGAGGTGGGGGGAGGAGGAGGTAGGTTCCCGGAGGGCGCACAGAACAGGTGTTAGGTGCTCAAAGTTTACCACTTAAAAATGGGCTGGCTTAGGCCCCGGGCTAAACGCATTAACACTGGGTAGCAGACCATTTCGCCATCACAGTCTTAAAGACTCGTTCGGAATCTTCCCTAAGACCAGCCATCTGCTGACTACCTCCAAGCAACCAAGCTCTGAGGTAAAACATGCAGACGTCTGCTTAGCGGCACACTGTGCCAACACAGCCAGGCAACCTGAACGCGACGGCCGTCCCTGCCGCACACATGTCTGCTCCTTGCTTCCAGAGAATCAGCCTTTTTCTAGCCTGAGAAGTAGTAAGAGGTAAATAGGAGAAGAAGAACAGAGACCTTACTCCTTTACGCTCCCAAAAGACTCATCTAAAAACCGAGAACCCATTCCCGAGAGGGAGCCCGCGTCTACCCCATCGCCCAGCGCGCACTCACTCTGGCTGCTGGCTTGCTGCCCGTTCGCGGGTATCGGAGGCGGCGGCGGCTGCTGCTGCTGCTGCTGGTGGTGTGGCTGGTGGTGATGCTGATGATGCTTCCTGGGAGCATGGTTCTGCTTCTCCAAGTTAAAGGTCTTATTGCTCTGCATTTTTGCGCCCTGCAAAGAAAATGTGGACTGTCAAACGCGGTGCTGAGGAGGCAGTCGGCCACTTCCTGGTGACTTACATGCCGTGAATCGCCAGGCTTTGCCAGATCCGAACCACCGGGAACTTTGAACGAGTATGGCAACACGGAAAACCGAGCGGGCATTAGCGGCTGCGTCGCACAGAAACCCGACAAGTACCGGACGAGAACGGCTTGCACTAGACCGGCCCGAGCAATCTTTCAACTCGATCGTTTTATACGTTACTAGGAAACGACTCCCCCCCGCATCAATCTACCCCCTAAACGCTGGCCCTATGATGACATTAAAGTACATTTACAAAGCACGATTATTGAGACAGGTTCTAGTTAGCCCAAGGACGAGATCGCAATAGTCTTGCTCTTGCCTGGCACCTGCGCAGTCCTAGCCCCTGCGGGTTGGACGGCGGGCAAGTCCTAGTCCGCCGCGGCCTTGATCCTGCGTAGGTTTGACACACGGTCCTGCACTACTTAGTAAGCTACTTCTGCGCGGTTCCTTAGGCTGTTATAAGAGGGATAATAATAAGGTGGCTATGAGGATTAATTAATATGTGAAAACACCAGTTTGGTGCAGTAAACACCGTTATTAATCACAATGGACCGATAAATAGCTACCCAATACAAAACGATGACTATACGGCAGTTTTAAAATGCAAACTTTCTAACTGATCAGATTAAGTTAGGACAATCTTCCTCATCCATGGACATTCTTCAGTAAAGGAAATAAAAGGGCAAAAGTCGATTCTAAGCCCATTCCCCTAAACACAAGACTCTCTGGTCAGAATTTAGCTGAAGATGCAGAAAAGGACCTTTCCGCGAACAGAGGAAGTTACATGCCTTAGATGAAACAATTTGACGAAGGCTTGGTAAGTCGGATGATTGATATCATGAGAATACTTTGATAGGTATAGAAACTTTCCTAATATGTTTTGTATCACATCCCACCCAAACTGGAAATATCAATGCAATTATGAAACACGGTACCCGAAAGTTGTGTCCTGAGACAACAGGTAACAACAGCTATGGAGATGTTCCTATTCCTTAACTCGGGAATCCCAGTCCTAGAAATTGATCCTAAAGATATGACTTTAAAAATTAAAAATCACATCCATGACGTAGTCACTCCGATGGTCTTTATGTTAATAAAAATGTCTTCCATGCCCAAATTTAGGGGCGTGGTTTCTAAATTATGGCCCACCTATACTGATGGAAAGTTCTACAGTATTAAAATGTACGAAGACTATGTAAACATGAAAAATCACGCTTTAAGAAGGCAGGGATTTTTAATGCACGAACGTAGAAAAGAAACAGAAGGCAGACAAAAATGAAAACTGTCCACCTCGAAGGTTATTGATATTTTTGACCCTTCGTTTTTTCACTAATTCACTCAGCAGATAAATCTCACTGCTTGCTATTTGCCAGGCACTATTCTAGGAGCTGCGGGTGCAACAATGAACCCGGCAGACTAGTGCCTCCAGGGGAGCTTACCTACTTCAAACAATATACATGATAATCGATGGTACTTAAAGGTTAAGTGTTACAGGGAAATGAAGGCAAAAGGGAGGGGCAGGGAAAGTAGATAAGGGAGTGGAAGGAGAGAAAGGCAGCAATTTGCAAAAGTTGTGAACTGAGCCTCTCTGAAAAGGGGACATTTAAGCCCGGTCTTCAGTTGTCATCGATTTTATGTTTCTCATTAACAAGGCAGCTATTACAAGATACATTTTTATTATAAAGATCTTGAATTATTTCGCAATTTGCCTCGCCTATGACACAGGACCAACACTTTTCACGTCACTAAATCTTCTACTTTAATTGTTAAAGGACGCAGCACGCAGCTGTCAACCGAGCTGCTACGTTGGACACTTGGGTTTCTAATTCTTCGCCGTTAGAAATGAGGCTCCCAGCTAAATATTGGGGCACAGCCCAGAGTAAATATTCCTCCTATATTTCCAATTTTGTTTCTTTACCTTCCCAAACATACGTTATCAGGTCAAGGGCTGCGATCACAGTGCACCACTGTATGTTCAGCTCATTATTTCTAGAGTGTCAACGTCATTATAATCTTTAACAGCTACACAGAGTCAGTGTGGATTACATTCATTTACTCAACGACTCACTACTACGAGCCGTTCAGGTTGTTTTCTGTGTTTTCCTATTACACTGTGGCAGTAAATATCTCTTTGCTTATAGCTTTCTGCTTATTTCCTTAGGATAAAAATGAAATAATTAAATCTATCTTTGTGACTTCGGCTACGTAGTGCAGCACTGCATTCTCAAAAAGTTGTAACAACTTTAAATGCCATGAATAGGTGTAGCGGTTGTCCGGGATATGGAACACCTTAAAAAGAAAGAAAAAAAAGAAATCGTAATTTTCAAGTAAGATACATAAGAGAAAACGAAAATGAGCAAAATGTAAAGTCGCCCCCGGCAACGGTGGGGGGCGGGGTAAGGCAGGCATTAGAACCAGACCTTTTCCTGTTTAAGTCCCAGGTATTCAACATCTCCCTTATCCCCACCCCCCAAAGTGGCCCAAGGCAGAAACTGGAACCATCTCCACGGCCATTTCTTCAAACTAGCTCTTTTTACTTTCTTACCTCTGGCGAGAAGCCCAGGAACCATTTTTTTTCCTGCAGCCTCCCAGGCCCCAGCCTCAATACCTCGCATCCCATTCAGGAATCTACAATTTATATTACACGTTACCATAAGTCATTAGAGAGATCCACTCAAAACTGAAATATTACAAAGCCTATATCTACATCTTAACCAAACTTCATTCCATTTCAAAAAGGCCATTTTGCAACTTTTGAGTAGAAATGACCTCCCTCCTCCAGGATAAAGTGCTAGGATGTTCTAAACCATTGAAGATTACTTTAAAGGAGGTTTTTTGGACTTAAGAAAGCGTAGCCTGAGAGATAAGGTGATAATACAAGAGCTTTATCGAACATTATGTACCAGGCACTGTGCTAACTCTGCGACCATTTAGTACTCGCAACTATTATTCTTCTGGATAAGAAAAATGATGCCCATTCAAGGTCACACAAGTGTGACGGAGCAGAGTGGAGAATCTCAGACTCATCACTATACTACCAGCTTTGTAATCAAAGTCAGCTCAATCTCAGTTTCAGAGTCCAGCCAACTTATTAGCCATGTCACCTAACTCCCGAGCCTCAGTTTCCTCACCTGTAAGATGGGGACGACGGTTTCTAACTCACAGGGTTATTTTAAGAACTAAATGAGATCATGTATATATGAGACACTTGTTCCTGCTGGCGGCCACTCCCCTTACCCCTACACAAGTTAGGCACTCCTGTTAGACAAATGTCAGTCTTCCTCCACTCCTTTCGATTCTAGCAAAAATCATCTTTTTATAACTACATCTATTTTTTAAATAAATGCGTCCGTCACGCTAATCTTCATAATCCCTCCCTCCAGGTGCTTCTTTCCCAAGCGGGCATTCAATGCTGAAGACTAAGTAGTCTTCTATAAGTCACCTAAAACAGTACTGTCGCTATCTCCTGATGATGATGACCACCCATATCATCTGGAAAAATGTGCCAAAACCTAAGTGATAAAGTCACTGCCCCCTAACCACGGGGCCTCCAAGAGAACAAAGCACAAAGAGCAGCAGCAGCAAGGATTTCTGTCCTGAAGAACAGTCTAGCTGAAGGGCTGGCTTGATAAGAAACAGGTACTGCTGGCTCACAAAGGCGGACCACCGGGCCCCAGAGTCACACAAACATTTAGGTAGGGGACCCCCGTGCTACATCACACGTATCTGCGACCTAAATAAACATCTTCTTAATTTTAGGGGCAACGATCAACTTTTTAAGGTGGAAAACTGTGGGGAAATCTGATAAAAATCTACTCAGGCCGCGGCATAGGAAGCAGCCTGAGGCTGTGGAGGGCGCGCAGCCACCCGGCCTGGTCCTTCCCTGTTTTCTAAGAGTTTCCTAGGACCTTTCATCTACCGACAAGGAAGTTGGACAAAGACAGGCTAAATCTAGGCAGATTTATCAAAGAAAAACACACGGCATAGTAAAATTTAAAATTCCCGTTTCAAAACGAACCGCTTCTTAGTATAAGTGCCATGCGACATATCTTAAAAAGAAAAAAAACAATCGCTGTCCATGTGAAATTCGGAACAGGGCGTCCGGCATTGTCTGGCTGCCCCCTCCACCTACCTCGACCTAGATGGAAGATAGCAAAGTGCCTCCCCGCCGTCTCTACCCCCGACTTCTCCGTTAAGAACACAAAGAAAGGTGTCGCCTTACGACAATCGTTTCTGCAAAGCGGAGAATACTCGATAGGACATCCGTACAACGAAGTTTGATTTTTAAGAGTGATGCTGCGCATGGCTCGGGCAGCTAGGCGGCCGGACCGAGGACTCACGGGAACCCGACGAGGGAAGCGGCGGGGTCCCGCCGGGCAGATGAACTTCCCGGCTAAGAGTTTTGACAAAGGAACGTCGCTCGGGGGGGCCCAGCCCGCA